AACGGAGCAAGCAACTCGAATTATTGACAGCGGCAACTCGGAACGCATAGAGCGACTGGCCCCGTTGCTAGGGGCGCGTGTCTCTTTAAGCTCTCGGGGGCTTCTCGCAAATTCGAGACCTTTCGATACACGCCTCTCCGAGAGAAGTCCCCGAGAGATGCGCAATCGACAATTATAAACAGAAAACAGAGGAAACAAAGCGAACAAAGAATGCCCTGTCTCCACTGTTTACTCATTTGATCGTCACGGCGAAAGTCACGGCGATAACGCTCAAGTCTCGGTGCTCGCAATTGCCGTGCTGAAACGCTAATTTGTATTTTCGACTTCGCTATCGTTAGAACCGTTTACGCAATCTTAAACATACCGCCCGCCTCGTCAGAGGGACTGACGACATAATCGCGGTACGATAATTAGCGTAGCGTACGATACTTAGTTATTTACCGATGACACGCGGATCCGCCGACGGGATCTTTGCCTATCGAACGCGCGAGCGAATTTTTACGTCGCGCAGCGTCGTAACGCACAGATACTAGGATCCTCTTCCGGCGGATCTATTGCGCAACATGAATACTTGACTTAAAGTCCGGTTGTACACGAACGCGTCCGTAAGCAGTGCAACGTCCTCCTGTGGCAAGCGTCCACGATCAGCCTTGTGAATTGTGACGCCTCGGGCAGGATCACGGGATGCCGTTCGTCGTAGGCCAGGACGGCGTGCTTGAGCCGCCCGCCAACGCGCAGCAGTCCTTGAGCATCTAGAACAGGATTAAGTCTAACAAGAAAATTAGATCTCGGCAGCGAGCGGCCCAGCCGGACCGCTTCTATGTCTCGGCCGAAGTGAATCGCTTGCGTCCGTCGGATCCAACTCAAGCGGGTCTCCTCCAGCTCCTCGGCGGAAAGGTCGTCCCCGTACCCGGAGGCTGCTGACTCCGCTCTTGCTTTACTGCCCCGTCCCCGGCGAAGCCATCGCCGGCACCATGCTGTCACGCGCAGTAGTCGCTGGAGCGAGGAGAAGCGGAGAAGCTCCTCAGGTTCCTCGACTGCGGCAGTCCCTGACACCGCCACGTGGACTCGCACGCGCTCGTCGGGCAGGCCCTCCTTCTCGGGTACGGCAGCAGAAGCAGGCCATGTCGAAGGGTCCTCCTTAAGCCAGGCGGGGCCCTGCCACCAGAGCTGGTGGCCGATCAGCTCGCCCGGGGA